ATTTTCTACCTCTCTTTAGCGTTTGGAGTATGAGGAGTGATTGATAGTTTGATTGGAGTAATTAGGTATTTTCAAGCAAGTAGTGAAGCGGAACAACTAAAAAAAAAGGTTGAGGAATTAGAAAGGGAATTATAAATTAGAGTTTTTTCAAAAGAAAAAGAGTAAAATTCATTTATATGAACGAACTTAAAAAAAGGGATACAAAAGGTAAAAAAATAAAACTTTGTGATTATTGCCAAGAGCAAATTATTGGTGATCCAACTTTTGACAGAGCAACCCTTTGTGTAGTAGAAAGAAACTATCCTAGTAGAGAGGATTATCTTAAAAATCCCAATTCAGAAGCCAAAGATGTTATTTATCATCAGGATTGTTACAAACAAAAATATTTTATCATAAATGATGTTAATGATCTAAGAAAGATGGCTAGAAAAATGGCGGTAACAATCTGCGAAGAACCAAAAAGAAATTTTGGAAAAAAGGAAGAAAATTAAAATGCTATGTATTTCATTGATGAAAAAAACGGAGGAAAGAAAGTTAACAAATGAGACATACTCCAACAAAAAGATAAAAAGTAAGTATATATAAAATATATTATATGAAAAAAGTTCACAAATATAATAATGATTTTACTGAATACCAAAAAGCTCTCCAATTCCTAGAAAAAGGTTGCAGTTGCGGATGCTCTGATAAACTTCCCAAGGAAAAGTTCGCTCAATTACGAGAACAATTTCAAAATCTTTCCAAAAAAAGAACAAGATGCTTTTCTAATGGCTCAACTTATAAACACTGAGGAAGGAGAAACTACTACTAGTTCTCGTTTTCCTAAAAGAGAAAGAACTAATTACCGAATTTCTTATCGCTGAAATAATGTAACCCTACTTTGTCAAGAAACTTATTTTAACATGTTAGGAATAAGTCTCAAATATTTTGAAAGTGTTAAAGACCACTTTCTAAGTGAAGGTTTGCTGGCTAGAACCCATGGTAATATTAATCGAAAACCTCAATGAACCACTAAAATGACCATTGATGAAAACATTAAAGAAAAAGTAAAAGAATTTTTGGAGAAATATGCTCAAAAACATGGTCAACCTGATCCTAGTCAAAAATATGCTCGAAAAATTGCAGTTGATGTCAGATCCAGTGGAGAAGTTGTTTTCTTACCTACTGAAATGAGCTATAAATCAGTTCATGATGATTTTGTTATAAGTTTTGAAAAAGATAATAAGTTAAAGTCCTTAAAGTATGAAGCTTTTCGAAGATTATGACATGAACTGGCACCTAATATTAAGATCAGAAGCCCTCGTTCTGATTTATGTGATACTTGCCATAAATTTAGAAATGAGATTCATTCTTGTAAAGATGAGAAAGAGAAAGCAACTCAAAAAAAAAACTTTTTCAGCACCGAAAACAAGCAAAAAAGCAAAGAGACTACTATAAAAAGAACACAAAATTAGCAAGAAGAGATAGAAAGTTAGTAGATAAAAACTATTTATTAAACCAAGGCAAGGTAGAGAGTTGTTCGGTTAATGCTACTGCTCATTATAGCAATGACTTAGCCCAAAGTGTTTGAATTCCCCACTCTTCCCAGCAACCTAGTCAAGACTATTTCGTAACTCGTTACAAAGTTCACTTAGCAGGAGTTCATAATGAAGCTACCAAGGAACAAATTAACTATGTTAATGGTGAGAATGAATTACTAAATAAAGGTCCCAATGGCATCCTAAGCATAGTTCTTAACGGAATTAAACAATTTAACCGCGGAGAAAAACATCTCAAAATTAATTGTGATAATTCAGCAGGACAAAACAAAAACAAGGTTAGTTTGTGATTTTACTCATGTTTAGTAATAAAGGATTATTATGAAACTATCGAACAAAATTTCATGCTGAAAGGACATAATAAATCTAAAGTGGATGGTAGTTTTGGCATGATTAAGAGAAGATATAAAAAGTCTACTGTTTACAGTATAGAACAATTTGCTGAAGTAGTAAAGAAATCTAGTCCAACAGGCTATAATAAAGTTCAGTGCTATAAAGATGGTAAGGGATTTCAGTATTATGATATCAGAGAAAGTTTAGAACCCTACTTTACTAAATTGCCTAATATTGGAAAGTATCATCATTTCCTTATTGAGAATTCTAACCTTGGAGTAGTAAAAGTAAAGGAACTTGTTGATAGTCCTTGAATTGAGATTGATTTATTGAAAAATGAGGGTAGAAAAAGAGAAGAAATTATTAGGGAAATTAAAAACTTGGTATTTACTACTTTGAAGCCTAAACCTTTGAGTTTAAAGAGGCAAGAGTATCTTTATAAGGAGATTAGACCTTTGTTGCCTGAGGAGTTTAGAGAGGAGGTTTGCCCAAGGCTGAATATTAGCGATCAAAGCATGCTGTAGTTAAAAAGCATGTCTACAAAGTTCTTCATCAAGGAACCTTTTTATTGAATATAATTTTCATTTTTTGTCTTTCTTGTTAGATAGAAGTTACACTCTTTAAAAACAAGTTCCTTTATTTCTTTATTGCTAAAATCTAATTTTTCTTGAGTTAACAATCGAAAAATTTCTCTTAATAGTTCCGCTCATTCTTCTTCGCTTTCTATCAATTGTAATCTACGAGTCCAATCCTGTCATTTACTGCTAATTGATGCATTTTTACTGGCAATTCATTATTTATGTAAGGGCTAATGAGGTGGGTTCCTTTCCTTACATCTCTAAAACTTTTTAAAATCAAAATTCCACTTGTGCTAAGAAGTAGATTAAACTCTTCTCTTTCTACAGTATTTCTAATTTTGGTTTTTTCTATATTTTCATTCATTATATTAAAGTTTTTTATTACTACTTTTTATAATCTATTTTTATTACATTTTTCATAACTATCCTTAAAAAGCGAGTCATCATTGTCTCCAAATTTAGCAATATCTTTATTCGTTAATCTCCTTTTTTAGCCATAACTTCTGTTTCCCAATTAGGAAATTACTGCGGATGCTGCGGAAGTCATGTGATTTATTTTTTCTTCCTTTTTGGTCACGTGATTTTTCGGATCACATGATTTTCACCTGACTTTTCCAAAAAAGGAAAAACATGATTATCAGTTCCTAACCGCTTTCTTCTTTCTGTTCTTATGATTTTACTGCGGATCATGTGATTTTCATGTGATTAAATCTCATTGGATACCGCTTTCTCTTAAACACGAGGTATTTTTCTTGAAAATTATTGGTTCGGCTTTATTTCATAGAAGTTTAACCGCTTTCCTTAAAAAGATAGGCTAATTTCTTGGCAAAATCATACGATACAGCAATAAATCCTTAAAAAGAAAAGATAACAAAAAATCTTTCGGTGAAACAAAGCGGTAGCGGTTAAATTAGGTCGTAAGGGGTTTTGGTGTTTCAGATAAGTGATTATCCATCTTTATTTGGAGGGGCTGAAATGCTTGGCATAAATGATTGGCACTGCTAAACCTTTTATAGATGTCGGTTAAATTGATAAGAGATTGGCACAGCAGATAGGCAAAATTGATAAGCCAAATGGGATAATTTAACCGCTTGCTTTGTCTGAAAAAAAGTTTAATATTGTTCTAATTTTAGAATTACATCATAGGGCGTTGCTTGGCGTTTCACCTTTGTTTCAGATTTTATTTATCTTTACTTTTTTAGGGAAAGATTAGATAGATAGAAATCTTTCGAAAAAATGGCGTATCTCTTGGCAAAATTGCGTAATCTTTGAGGGAAATTGATAGAACCTTTTAGAAAGACTTTTAGAGATAGATAGAAAGGTATCTTTCGGTTTAATTTCTTATAAATACAGGCTGTTTTTTCTTTCTTTTCTCCTCACCTTCAAGGTCTAAAAATAAGTTTTATTATAAGTTTTTTTTACGATAAATAAAGTGAGTTTACTGCTTGCTTTTTATTAAATTTATACTTTATTGTTTTTTTACTAAGGATTTTTTTTATTTTCATAACTTTTCCATGATAGCCACGATGTTTAACAATGTTCGTTATGAAGATGAAGAGCAAAATTCTTCTTATCGTTCCTATGCCCACAATGTTCCTATTCAATTCTTTGGTCCAAGTGGCACTCCCGCTCCTGACCCTTCTAATAAAAGCAAACTTACGACTAGGTCTTGGAACAGTAATGCTCCCAAATGGAGAACCGCAGCAGGAGGCTTAAGTCTCGAAGGTAAGAATAAGCAGATAGTTATCAAAATCTAATTAAATTGGTGTTCGACTTCTTTACTAACTGTTTTTTTGTTTAAAAGCCTACTGTTATAATTCCTCTTGCCAAGCCTACAACAAAGGTTATGTTTTGGTCAAATGGGGCTATCGCGATTTCGATTTCTTTCTTAATGACAGGGATGTAGGTTGTCCGATGTGTGGTCGGTATGTTCAAACCAAAAATTTTGGTTTTTGTAGTACTTGGTATAAGGTAGTCGGTTGCAAAAGAGATAAACCTGATGAACCTCTTCAACATGTTGATACCGAATGGGATTTTGTTTCCAACGATCGCTATTATACTTTCTTGGATAGTCCGGAAGATTTAGTTTATTGGGGACAACTCAAAATTAAAGTTTCAAAGTCCAGACCATATTAAATTCATTTTTTTTTATTATTTTCTCTCGTTTTTTATTTTTAACTTAACAAGTTTTTTTTGTTCTTTTCATATTGAGTTTTTCCTGTGTAGCAGGTTTTTACCTCTTTTTTTTCTTGTTAAGTTTTATCTTAGTTTTTTATTTCTTTAGTTGTTTCTACTATTTCCTTTTTTAATTCTTCCTCCTTAATTAAACTATCATCTTTTTTGACTA